TTTTACAATAAAATCTATTAATAGTGACATAAATTTGAAGATACTATCTACAGGTGAAATGTATTATTTGTCCTGTCGTTAGGGTAAAATGAACAGGAATTAACATGAACATTACAGTAAAGCTTTAAACAAACTAAAGTAAGGACTATGAAAAGTTAGACACAAGTTTGACCTTTAACTTTATGGCATTTGTGGACAAACGATGGCCAGTTAGGCTGTTTAATCCAGCCTATCAAACATTTACAAAACTACAAAATTTCCCTAAAAAGTTAAATATTTATTTAACTTTAACTTTATTTAACTAAAAAGTTAAATAAAGTTAAATAAATATTTATTTAACTAAATATTTATTAACTTTTTCCTGTGTTTTGCTGCATTTTCCTGCAATACCAGGTAGATGTCACTAGATGATGCACTCCAAACACTTCTGACCTTTACCAAGGCAAATTTATTCTGTCCACATATTTATGATTCCAACATCAAGACATCATAATTAAGACACAGCTCAGCTCCTGATGTTTGTTAGAGGCATTAATGACAGTTCTGAGGTCACAGAGGGATTTGTATGACAGGTTTCATCAAGAGGCCGAAGCGATAGATGCAGCTGCCGGGAGTCTCCCTCCTCCTTTCGACTACAAACACGTCCTTTTACTCAGCATCAAGAGCGCTTTCTTCACAAAAGCTTCGACTCGGGTACTTACCTTCCCCTTACGATTCAATATAAAGCCCCTGGAGGTTATTGTTGCTGTAATTTGGATGTTTATAAATGAAACTGGATTTAATTTCACATTCTATGATAACTTTCATTCATTTTAAATATTTTCACCTGTTAAAATGTAAAAAGGTTCAGTTTTAGTATGCAGACATTTTGCACTGCAGATCACCAAAACGATTCAATTTCATTTGAATCTAATAAATTTACACAATTTAAAAGAAAATGTAACAAAGAATAAAATATTCCTCAGAGATCCAGATGTGGAGGTTGTGTGTGAGGCTGCTAAAACATCATTTTTCATTGAGCTCATTGTTTGTTAGTTTAGTTCACACTTCAGTTTGAATTATGAGCATAAACGACATTTTTACTGTTACAAACAAATATTTATCCTTTAAATTTCCTTGCAAAAGTCTTGAGCCACAGATAGCTGCCTACAGCTCTGCCTGTACTTGCAGGTCCTGTGTTCTTTACACCAACCAAACAAAAAGCTTTATTAGCATCAACAGAAACAGTGACCAGAGGCACATCAGTCTCAGCCACTGTGCTCATTGCCACACTGAACAAACACAGCTGTGATTCCCGTTGTACATTAACAGTGAGACATGAACACAAGTTAACTGGAACAGCTGTTATCAGACTGTAACCTAAACACGTTAACATCAGCATGTAAAGTCTCATGAGTCGTGGGGATGGTGGCCGCTCCCCTCGGGCTGCACCAGTGCATTAGACCAGTATTAGCTTGATGTGTGCAGATGGGTGTGACTCTTATGTTCGGGCTAACTCACAGGACTGTGTGTGGCAGTCACAAAGCAGCCTTTGTGCCTTCCAGGCACCTCCTGCCTTTCACAAAAACGGGACATTAGAAGATAAAGTGATGTCTAGATTACTGTGATGTCCAAACATTTAAGGTTTTCCTACTTGAATGTTTAGTTTTTGTTGAAAGTGACAACTTCTCCTGAGGAGAGCACGTGCTCTCAAAACTACCAACGATAGGAAGAGTGATGAACTGGAAACGCTCGTTTAAACATTCTGGGTGATTAATGAGGTCAGTCTGCTGTGGGAGCACTGTGTGGTAGTCCGCGCCGGCTTTCCAAACTAATTAACAGTCATCGCGGCAAAGATCACAGTAATGCCACCTGTGTGAATCCCACTGACATGTTTCCTCCTTTACAAAAATGTAATCACAGTATAACAGAATATTTGGTATGTTAATAAAACTGGAGTTAATATATCTGTAAACCTTGTGACGTCATCTTGAATTTATAATAAAGTGCAACTTACAAATGTGCAGAGTCCTTTCCACTGATGATCTGACATTTAGTTCATTCAGTTTCTTTGCTTACAGTCGTTCTCAATCTGTGGCACGCGGACCACTGATGGCACAAGGGCTCCCCCTAGTGGTACACAGGAAGTCTTCAAGACTTTTTTAAAGATTAAATAATTATTTAAAATATGCAGACATTAAATGTTCTTTACCGCAAGATAACTGAAATTGAGTTTAAACTAGATTTTGTCTTTTTTTTGAAAAGCTGTATTCAACAGGCACGCTGACTAGGCCAACCTGACTAGTAGCTCAAAGGGTTGACAAACTGAGTCGTGATGGCAAGTGGACGCATGAAAAATGACCGTTCAAAGCGAAGCGATCCTGGCTCCAAACAGGAAGTATCAAAAGGAGAACTGTAGTGAATATTTTGACCAGCGCAGCAGAAACTGAAGCCGACGACAGTGAAACCAGCACAAGTGCGAGTAGCAACTTCAGCAATACCCGTGAAACTTCTGGTGCGTGATAGCATCAAACGTGAAGACGTGAAGAAGTCACATCAAGTTCAGAGGATGAGCCCCGGACGCTGTGCGCAGAGTGCGGCGATGTTCTTAGTAATGAATGCATGAAACCATCACATGTTCACTGCACAGCGAATACCCGGCACGTTCAGACACGGCCGTGTGCTTTCTCTTTCCATTTGCACCACGTATCTATGAGAAGGTCGGCTCTTCACTCGCCTCTAAGGCTGAAGGTGTGATTACAGAGCCATGCACGTCCCTTTAGGTATGGAGGCCAAGTTGCCAATGACCACCAAATAAGATAAGATCGATCTTTGTTAGTGCCACGAGTGGGAAATTTGTTGTTTCTGTTTCGATTGTTTTCATGAAGCTGTTGAATGTTTTAATGCAGTCAGTTTGTCACATGATGGTCAAGTACAGTTATGACTGTTTATGGCAGTTAAATAACATTCATATAAGAAATAAAATAGTCTCATGTAAACTGTTGTTAAATAGGCTGATACTGTACTTTAATCATAAGGGTGGCCAGGTATTTTCTGAGGTGGTGCTGACTGTGCACAGTTTGAGAACCACTGTAGACAGCAGAGCAACACATGTTCCTGCCATGTTTGAGAGAAACGCACAAAGATCATGATTATCAGCTCTTTGCCTGACCTGTTGTATCCCAAACGCACCTTTCTCTGACAGGACCACTAAATAATGAGCTGAATTTTACTAAATAAAAACATTAGTGCAGTTTAACAATAAATTTGTGCTTCAAACAGAATAAATCAGCAATAATCATAAAGTGCCAGCATCATGTCTGCCTTCTATCGTGCTCGTTTGGTGAGCACAACCTCGGCTTTATTTGCTGTAAGTGAACATCTGCATGAAAGCTTCAACATTATGATTCTGTAAAGTCTCAGAAACCCTTTTAAAAACATTTAAAAGGTTTGAATATAAAGTGTAGTAAGTCTGTAAATGACAGCGCCCCATGCCGGATACACACGACATTCCCACCAGTTTTCCTAAATGTTTCCCAGGAGTATTACTGCTTGTGGTTGTACTGTCCACGTCACGATATAAACACCCACGGCTGTGAAGGTCACTGCAGTATTGCTGAACTTGACAGTAAAAACATTGAGATGCTGACAAGAATCCAGGACAAAGTGAAAGAGGAAAACCCGGAGTTGGATGTGTTTTTCCTCGGCACAAACGAATGCTGACCACCACAACTTACTTCACCACTCTAAGTCCGACTTGTTAACTTTGGGATGAGTATCTCAGCTAGTGCCGAAGTTCAAAACAGGAGATACATACATGAATGTGCAGAACACAAAGCTACAACACAAACATCAATGTGTGCATGAAATATAATGTGAAAGCCTTCAAAGCCAAAATGATTTGCTTCATTCTCAAGACACATTTTGGGCGACACATTCGCTCGTTTCCTCTGAAACAGGGAAGATCTGCACAACTCTGCAGCCAATTCTCAGGTTTTGAAAAGACTGAGAATTGACTTCAGTTACTGGACCCTAAAACAGCACTACAGGAGTTACGATGTAAACTGATAGATCTTTTACTCTATTCTAAAGAAGTTTCTAAAGTTTAACTCCATGAAACGGGATAAAACCGCAGCCTCCAAACCTCCAAGAGATGAAGATGCTGGTGTTGTTTGGCTCTACTTACATGTGTGAGCAAACTTTCACTGAACACCATCTCTGGGGGAGACGACGGCGTACAGAGCTGAGGTTCAGAGGCTGACTGGTGTGCAGATAACAACCTGGACCTCAGTACCAACAAGACAAAAGAGCCGGTAGTCGACTTCAGAAGGAGGAAGTCTGAGCTGCAGCCTGTCAGCATCAACAGGAAGTGCGTGGAAAGGGTCTCCAGTTTCATGTTCCTGGGAGTGCACATAGACACAGACCTCCAATGGAGCTC